GGTGACGATTGTGATGATGATGATGACTAGCCGCGAATTTCCAGCGCATTGGCGACACGCACAGTGCCGACTTGTACAACCGTTATGCCAGCCAGCTGCAGATAACCGCGGTGCCCAAGCCCCAGACGGTGGGGGCTGCTCAGCACGCCATGCGTGATGCGAAGAAGTCCCTATACAAAAAAGTGCGCGTTGCTGAGGCTCTCAAGCAACAGCTCCACGACGCAGAGCAGGCCGCCATCAGCGCCCTCTCCGATTTCGAGGAGTGCCAAACCAACTACCACAGGGCAGTGCGTATCCTGGCCGAGCATGTGCCTCCCGAGGGTGCGGGCGCGACAGCGGCCCCCGCAGCCGCGCCCCGCACCCACGGCCCCAGCCTGGAACGCCTGCTGGACGAGCACGCCCCTGTCGAGATCTTCGCCGACGACAACCTGTTCGGTTTGGAGGCCGAGGGCGTCGAGCTCTCCGAACACGAGCGCGAAGAGGTGGCTCGGCGCAAGGCGGAGGTCGAATACACCATCAAGAGGGCAGTGGCGGAGTCCTTTGGCCAGGCCAAGCAGAGGGCCAAGAAGCTGGTCGACGAGCAGCGCGCCTTCCGTGACCGCCTGCAGCTCAATCGTCGCAAGTTCGGCATTGACGGCGAGGGCGACTGCGACGCTGCTAGAGGTGGCGCGCCAGCCACCCCTGGCACGGCCGCGGCTGCTATCCCCGCAGCCTCTCCTGCCACCGCCCCAGGCCCGAGGGCTCCCTCGGCCCCATCGGCTGCCGCAGTGGCCCGTGGATGCGTCGGACTCTGCTGAGCACAGGTTGCGGTTCGACATGGTCCTTGCAGCTTCAAGAAATTCAGTCGACCAGTCTTTCTCAGCCAGGACTTTAGCATATCATGGCAGTGGGCAACTACGTTCGGGACTTCGATTTCGACGTCTCCGACATGGTCGCCACACTCACCTGCCATGAGACCGCTGAGACCCCCCCCCCAGACGAAACCCTAGGTAGGCCAGCGTCCCCGAGGCGCTGGGACCGCCTAGAGGGACCCTGGGGCAGGGAATCGGCGCGAGTTTGGCAGGCAGAGGGCGCCACATGTTCGCGGTGCGGCTTGCCTCGCGATACCTCTTCCACGGGCACTACCACACTAGGTTGGGGGCAGCCCGAAATTGCCTTGAGTTCCTCAAGCTGCGCACGCATGACATCAGCATCATCATGGTTTCAGTTTCGCCTTCCTGCTCAGCTACCCTGTCATCCTGTCCAGTCGCCGTCGGCAGGGGCGGCGCAGCCACCATCTACTACGAGAGCTGTTTCAGCATCGGCGTCGCGAACTCCCGCTTGCACAGGCCCCCGACCGTCCAGTGAGTCTGGTGGCGCGAGTGAGCAGGATGCCAGCACGCCTGGCGCTCGCGCCAAACCCACTCTTCCTTCCTCGCCAGAGTTGATGCGTGTGGTGTTCGACGCGGCCAATACTACGTCCTGGGGATCTCTCAAAACATACTTGCAGGACGAGGCCCAGGGACCGTCGTTTTCCTCCAGGACTTCAGCTTCGGGGAGCCGCCGTGCGAGGGGGTCAACCAGCTGAAGAGCATGGGGTGGAAATCTATCGTCAGTCCCAGTATCCCCGCCCTGGGGGGGGGGGGCTCAGCAGCGATGCAGGAATTGCGGTTCGCCCGCACATCCCCATTGGAGCTTTGCCACTCGCTCGCCCCCTTCCTCGGCCTGAGAGGGTATGCTCCGCGTGGGTCAACACGTTCGTCCCTGGAGGCCTGGCTGTCTTCTCGCTCTATTTAGATTGCAACGATCCGCTAGGCCTCGACTCGTTCAGGATTTTGAATCGCATTGGCGAAGAGATCCACCAGCTGCAGATCCCGTTCATCATTGGAGGGGATTGGAATACTCACCCATCACAGCTGCTCAACACTGGGTAGGTTGACCGTCTAGGCGGCGCAATTTTGCATTCTAGCAGACCCACTTGCCGCAAGTCGGACAAGCAGTGGAGGACCATCGATTTCTTTGTCTCGCGGGGCCTCGAGTCCGCCATGAGAAAGATTGATCGCAACGAGGCCAGCACCACATCGCCCCATTACACGGTGTCGTTGGAGCTCGAAGGGAATCCATTGGAGGCCAAGGTCAAGGTTTTGCAAGGGCCCAAGCCGTCCCCGAAGGAGCGCCCCATGGGTCCCTACCCGACTCCCCCGTCGTGGGCTCCTTGCAGCGACATCCTCGACAGTCCCAATGTGGCCCCTCACGATCTGGACCAGGCTTATGTTCAGTTCTGCAAGCTTTTCGAGGCGGAACTCAAGAGTGCCCACAACGTCGATTCCCTGGACCGCACCTATTCTGGCAGGGCCAACGGGCTCAAGCTTAAAGCGGTTTCAGCTGTGAGGACTTCTGGAGGTGATTATCCTGTTTCTTGTCCTGAAGGCCGTGCTTGGAGGAAGGTGGCTACTTGGTTTCTGGAGTTGGCGTACCTGCTTAGGAAAGACCACCCCAGGGACCACCCAGAGATCCTCTCGCTGGGCTCCAAGTTGGCCTCGGGCCCGAATAAGCTCCTCGAGAACCCTGAGTGGAAGCACTTGCGCGCGCATTTCCAGCTCGGCTCGATTGAGATTAACCGGTTGCTGCAGTTTGCCGCTGCGTCCAAGCGCCAGGCAGAGCTGTTCGAACGGCGCTTCCGCGCCACGAGGGCCAAGCTGTGGCGGACTTGGGTTGCTAAATCTCTTGAGGGAGGAGGCCTGGCGCGCCGGTTCACCAAGAAGCCTTGCGGGTTCATCCCCGACAGCCCCAAAGGGGGCCCCCCTCCCAGCCTTGAGGAGCAGATGAGGTGTCTGGAGGAGGAGTGGAAGAAGATCTGGACCCCTGCCCCTCACGTTGCCAACCTGCCCGACCCCATCCAATACCTCAGCCAAGTCATTTTTCGGTCTGGAGAACAGCCTCTCGCTCAGGCGCCTCCTGAGGACATCCGTGCTGTGGCCAAGACCTTCAAGGCGCACGCGGCCGTGGGGGCAGACCGCGCCAGACCGCAGGACTTTTTGCTGTTATCCGACGCAGGCTCGAAGTGCCTGGCGAGCATTTGGTCTCACATGGAGCGCCTTGGCCATATACCAGAGCCCCTCCATCACATCCTGGTCGCAATGATTCCTCGCGAGGACGGGGGTCGCCGACCTATCGGAGTTCTACCAGGAAACATTCGCATCTTCGGTCGGTTTTCTCGGATCGAAGCCAAGAGATGGGAGGGGGCTCATCCTCGTGCGTATCAGTTCGGCAGCAAGGGCAAGTCATGCGAGAGGGCTATTTGGGAGCAGTCGGTTCGTCTCGAGCATGCGCACATATGCAAGCATCAATATGCACACGCCCTGGTTGACTTGACCGAATGCTACGAGAAGGTGCCCCCACTACCTCCTCGCGCGCTCGGCGATTAAGCACGGCTTCCCAGCGCATCGGCTTAGGTTCCTGCTTGCGCTGTATCGGGGCAAACGCTCGCTGTAGTTTGACATGCGAGTATCAGCAGATATTTATGTCGAGCAAGGGATCCTGGCAGGCTGTTCGTTTGCCACCACTCTCTTATTTTGTTTGTTGCTCGACGTGTTGGACGACGCTGTCCGCCTCTACCCCAGCATACCTGTCTACAATGTCGTGGGTGACGTTACTATAGGAGCTGTGGGTAAGCGTAAGCATGTTACCCACATGGTCTTGGGAGCCACCAAGTTCATCTGCGTCCAGCTCGAGGCCTCGGGGTTCACCATCTCGCCCACCAAAGGTATCGTCGCGGGCTCGTCGGCCCAGATCGTCCAGGTCATCCGCGTGGGGCTCTCGTCCTGGGATTTCAAGGGCTCGGGGGCCACGAAGAACCTAGGGGTGGACTTCGCAGGGGCTCCCAGGCGCTCTACCAAGGTCCAGCAGCGACGTTGGCAATCCCTAATCCCGCGCATCAGGGGGTTCCGTGATCTCAGGTCCACCTTCTCGGGCATGCACAGGGCCATCAAGACGGGTGGGGCCCCAGCGGCCCTTTGCGGCGCCAGGGTCACTGGCATGGTCCCAACCCAGCTGGCCTCTTTGAGAGCCATCATCGGAGATGCGGCATTCGGCCCTGCCAGGGGCCGTAGCAGAACGATCCAGTTCCTCCTCAACCAGGACCACAAGTTGGGCCCCACCTACCAGGCTAATCTGCTCCCTCTAGGAATGTGGCACCAGGCTATCCAACACCGATGGCTTCCCTGGTCCATGCTTAGTTGTTGCTGGAAGCATTACCAGTCCTCCAACTCTGCTGGCAAGCGGTCCAAGGTCCTCGGCCCAACAGGCGTCGCGCTGGCCACTCTGCCGCGTCTCGGTTGGGCGGGAGCGGAGCTCGACAAGTGGGACATCGGGGGCGGGATCTCTATCGACCTAGGTCCCTTTGGTAGGCACGCGGTGGCCACCTTGATCGAGCAGGCCACCTACCGCCCGTTGCTGCGTCATGTATCCATCCCGAACGCGGCTGGCCAGTTATGCCCGCCTCTCATCTCAGTGGTCCGAGAGGAGCTGCAGGCCTTTCGAAGTAAAGATAACGTCGACGCCACCATCTTCCTGAGCGGAGTGGTTGCAGGAGGGTGCCCGTGCCAGTTGCAGTTGTTCATTGACCGCCGTGTGCTGAACCCCCACTGCCTCCGCTGTGGCCAGGCCCATGGGACCCCCAAGCACAGGCTCTACGAGTGCCCAGGCTTCCACCTCTTCCGTCGAGATCTCGATTTGGCCGATGTCGTGCGAGAAGGAGTAGGTCGACCCGAGCAGGATTTGTTGTACACTAGGGCCCTTGGACCCGACCCTGGGGCCGAATGGCCCCCCCTGTCCATGGCCGATTCCAGGCTCTGGCACCTCCGCCCTTCCTCGGGCCCCCTTGGCCCTCGGCTTTGCATTGACGGGTCGGGGCCCGTTTTCGGCCAGAGCTGGCTGGGCTGTTGTTAGTATGCAAGAAGTAGGGGGCTCTGACGGCAGCGTCTTCGGGCCCCTCCCCCACCCCCTTCAACGAAGCGGAGGGGGGGAGATTGATGCCCTCATCATGGCCATCCGTCTTGCTGCCCCGGGCCACCTTATCATTTACTCGGACTATCAAGCTGTCATTGACATGTGGACAGCTGGCCCCAACGCGGACCGCTCCCATGTCGCTTCCGCTGAGTTGTGGGATGAGGTGTTTTTTCTGGCCACCGACTTCGGACCCGAGAACATTGAGCTCCGTAAAATCAAGGCCCACTTTTCCTGGCAGGCGTGCTCCCGAACCTCCAAGGCGCCGTTCTGGGCATGGTCTGGCCACACGCTCGCTGACAAGCTTGCTCAGCAAGGTGTCAAGGCGCAGGTTTCGAATCCTGAGCTTGTGCGCAGGCACAAAGATAGCCGCGATTCGGTCCGTCCCGTTTGCAAACTCATTGGCGCCTTTGGTAATCATTTGTCTCATTTCAAGTTTCCTGACGTCCAGCGGGTAAAGAAGCCCCGCCGCCCGACGTACAACGCCCTCCAGCTCGTCCCAGACCGTCAAGGCCACGTTCTGCAGCGAGTGGGCAAATCTTCTCGAGCTTTCATTTGCACCCGCTGCGGAGGTCGTGGTCTGTCTGAGCGTGCTGTGTGTGCTATGCCATGCACGGGCCTCCCACGATTGGCCTGCCTGGCCGACAAGTCTCATCGGCTCTGGCTCATGGGTTCCTCCCTAGTGTGGTGCTCTATGTGTGCAGCCTTCGGGAGTTCCAGGCTCCGCTTGCTCGGAGGTCCCTGCCGTGGGAACCCCCGCAACAAGGACGGAGAGAAGACCCTGAGGCTGCTCAGTGAGGGGAAGGACTGAGAGCTCGTAAAAACTCGCCTCCTCGGGGTCACCGCGGACCTGGCCAGGCCGGCCTGCAGCTCCATGGGGCACCCCCCAAGAGGCATGTGTTGCCAGCGCGGGAGGCCCAGATTTGGACGTAGAAGCAACACTGTTCCTTCCCGACTCCATCCCCCGAGTAAGGATAATGAGGAGGAGGAGGAGGCGGAGGCGGAGCAAGAAGAGGAGCAGAGGGAGCAGGAGGATGAGGAATTGAAGGACGAGGAAGAGGGGGTCAGGAAGACGAGGGGGGGTGGAGGGAGGCAGGGAGGGTGATGATGATGATGACGGTGCTGAGGCTGCTGATCATGGTAGCGGTGGTGGTGAGCATGATGACGATGGTGATGTTGATGGTGATGTTGATGGTGATGATGATGATGGCGATGATGATCGTGGTGGCGATGATGGAGGTGACGATGCTGATAATGATGATAATGATGATGACGATCGCGAAGATGATGGTGACGATGATGCAGATGAAGGTGGTGGTGATTATGATGATACTGGTGATAGTGATGATGGTGGTGATGGTGGTGGTAATGATGAGTGTGGCGAAGATGCTGATGATGATGATGATGGTGTTGGTGGTGACGATTATGATGACGACGATGCCGCTGGTGATGGTGATGACGATGTTGATGATGATGCTGCTGGTGATGCTGATGATGATAATGATGGTGATCATGATGAAAGGGGAGGGGGGTGAGAAGGAGGATGGGGAGGAGTTGATGATGAGGGGGAGGGACCCAGGACGTCGAGGGGGAGGAGGGATGGATGGAGGGATGGAGGGAGGCCGATGCCGATGATGCTGCCGCGGGTGTTGATGATGGTGATGGTGGTGGTGATGCTGATGTTGATGATGGTGACGATGACGATGACTACGACTATGACTAGTATGCTGCTGATGATGATGACTATGATTATGACGATGCTGATGATGATGATGATGGCGATGATGATGGTGCTGGTGGTGGTGGTGTTCGTGAAGATCATGATGATGAAGACGATGATACTGATGATACTGATGATGGCGATGGGGATGGTGAGTGTGATGATGATTGTGACGATGATTGCGATGACGATGATGATGATGATGATGCTGATGATGATGATGATGATGATGATGATGATGATGATGGTACTGATGATGATGTCGATGAGGAGGAGGAGGAGGATAATGAGGATGGTCGTGGTGGTGGTAATGATGATGGTGATGGTGGTGGTGGTAATGATAATGAAGGTGGTAGTGACTGCGATGTTGATTGCGTCGAAGATGATGATGGTGATGGGGATGATTCTGATTTCCTGGTTATCGATTTGATACTAAATGTTTCGATCATGCTGATGCTGATAGCGATGATGATGCTGATGACGATGATGATGCTGATGATGGTGATTATGACGATGAGGATGATGGTGCATGGGGGGGAGAAGGAGGAGGAGAAGGAGGAGCAGGCGAAGGAGGAGCTGGGGGATTAGGAGGATGGAGGAGCAAGACAAAGGGATGATGTATGGAGGGAGACAGGGAGGGTGATGATGATGATAATGATGATGATGATGATGATTGTTGATGATGCTGATGGTGCTGATAGTGCTTGTGGTGGTGATGGTCATGATGATCAGGATGATGATGATGATGATGATGATGATGATGATGCTGATGATGACGATGACGATGACGATACCGATCACGATGCTGATGCTGATAATGATGATGATGGTGATGGTGATGGTGGTGTTGATGATGATGACGAGGATGGGGATGGGGATGATGCTGATGATCATGATGACGGAAGGGGAGGAGCAGGAGGAGGATACGGTGGATGGTGTTCGGATGATGATGAGGAGGGAAGGGATGGATGGTGATGATGATGCTCATGCTGGTGATGGTGATGATGCCCATTGTGATGATGATGATGATGATGATGGTGATGATAATGATGATGATGCTGGTGATGATGATGCTGATGATGATGACAATGGTGTGAGTGGCGGCTGTGATGATGATTGTGATGATGCCGATGTTGATGATGGTGCTGGTGATGGTGATGATGGTGGTGATGATGAGGCTGATGATGATGATGATGATGATGCTGATGGTGATGGTGATGGTGATGCTGAGTGTGCCGATTATGGTGATGATGACGACAGCAATGTTGGTTATGGTGGTGGTCATGATCATCATTCCGATGATGATTTGACGATCATACTGGTAATGGTGCTGATGATGACGCTGAAGCGTATGGTGATGGCGATGATGATTGTGATGCTGAATATGGCGATGATGACGCTGATGATGGTGATGATTATGATGATGTTTATGTCGATGATGATGATGATGATGATGATGATGATGATGATGATGATGGTGGTGGTGATGATGAAGAAAGGGGAGGCGGATGATGAGGAAGAGGAGGAGGACGAGGAGTTGGAAGATGAGGGAGAGGGAGACAGGAAGATGAGGAGGGGGAGGGATAGAGGGAGGGACAGAGGGCTTTGATGCTGATGATGATGATGATGACGATGCTAGTGGTGGTGGCGGTGGTGATCATGATGATGGTGCTGATGATGATGATACTGGTGATGGTGACGTTGATAATGATGATGATGCTGATGATGATGACGACGATGACAATGACGATGGCGATAACGATGACGCGATTGAGGATGATTGTGGTGATGGTGATGGTTGAGATGGTGGTGATGCTAATGATGATGATGATGGTGCTGATGATGATGATGACGGGGGAGGGAATGGATGAGGAGGAGAAGGGGGAGGAGGAGGAGGAGGAGGTTGAGGAGGGATGACGGGAGGGAGGGAGGGAGGGAGATGATGATGATGATAATGACGATGATGAGGCTGATGCTGATGGTGATGATGGTGAGGCTGTTGATGATGACACAGGTGATGATGGCGATGATGCTGATTCTGATGATGAGGATGCTTATGCTGATGTTGTGGTTGTCGGTGATGATGAGGATGCTGGTGGTGATTACGTTAATGATGACGGTGATGCTGAGGCTGCTGCGATGGTGATGGTGAAGTTGATGATGTTGATGGTATTGATGGTGATGACAATTGCGGGTGTTGATGGTGTTGAGATTGATGTTGATGGTGTTGGTGGATGGTGTGATGATGCTTTCGATGCTGATTATGATGACTATGCTTGTGATGATGTTGGCGATCAAGAATGGGGATGAGCAGGAGGAGGATGAGGAGCAGGAGGAGGCGGAATTGGAGGCTGAGGAGGGGGTCAGGAAGTTGAGGGTTGGAGGATGGGAGGGAGGATGGGTGATGATGAAGTTGTTGCTGATGGTGATGGTTGTGGTGGTGATCATCATGATGCTGATGATGATGCTGATGAAGACGTTGAAGATGATGATACTGACGATGCCGATGACGATGATGATGATGATGGTGATGGTGATTGTGGTAATGGTGTTGATGATGATGATGATGATGATGATGATGATGATGATGATGATGATGATGAGACGATGTTCATGCTGATGCTGATGATGCTGGCGATGGTGATGCTGACGATGTTGATGATGATAATCAAGATGCTGGTGATTATGATGGTGTTGGTTATTGTGACGAAGATGGTTATGGTGTTGCTGCTGATGATGGTGACTGTGACGATGACGATAATGCTGCTGTCGATGATGACCATGATGACGATGATGATGATAGTGTCGATGATGATGTTGTTGATAATGATGATACTGATCGTGATGGTAATGGTCATGGTGATGGTGATGGTGATGATGGTTGTGACGACGATGATGATGATGATGATGATGATGATGATAATGATGGTGATGATACTGGTGCTGCTGATGATGTTGATGATGATGACGATGATGATGAATGAGGAGGTTGAGGAGGGGCATGAGGAGGAGGAGGAGGAGGAGGAGGAGGAGTTGGAGGATGAGGAGGAGGGAGTCAGGAAGATGAGGAGGAGGGAGGGAGGGAGGCAGGGAGGGTGATGATGATGATGATGAGGCTGCTCATGATGGTATTGGTGGTGGTCGTGGTGGTGATGATGATGATGACGATGGTGATGATGATGATTATGACGATGACGATGACGACGATGATGAAGATGACAATGACGATTACGGTTATAATGATGTTGATGGTGGTGATGGTGGTGATGATGATGACGAGGATGATCATTATGATGATGATGTTTATGATGATGAGGATGAGGATGAGGATGAGGATGAGGATGAGGATGAGGATGATGATGATGATGATGATGATGACGATGATGATGATGATGATGATGATGAGGAGGAGGAGGAGGAGGAGGAGGAGGAGGAGGATGATGATGATGCTAATGATGATGACGGTGACGATGATGGAGGAGGAGGAGGAGGAGGAGGAGAAGGATGAGGATTTTTGCACCAAGCGCTCCAATGAGCTCAAGGGGGAGGGGGGGGAGGAAGATGCGCCACCCCTTCATGCCCGTCGCGCACCTTCTTGTTGAAGGCCTTGGCGCGGGCTGAGGCACCTGGGAGGAGGCCCCGTTGGAGCTTCCGGAGGTTATCTCCCCCTTACGGAGAAATCCGTTTCAAGCACTCCTGAGCGTGGCCCTGGATGGCTCTGTCCATTCCGATGGCCCCACAACTTGCGCACGCCCACCCGTCAGCGTGCTCAAAATACTGGCACGTGTGTGA